TTTGGGAGAGGGAGAGACTGATTTATTAACATGTGATTGCATCCAAATGTAGTCATTCTCCTAGTAGGCAATTCTTCTTTGAGTCATGCTCAATTTCTGATGACTTCATAGAGACATATCCATGTACAGTAGTTTTCTTGAGAGCAATACAGAGGTGCTTTTCTTTTTAAAAAAAATTTCCAGTCTACCCTACAGCCTTGGCATACCCTGTGGTGTTCCATCCAGAGACCTCACATGCTTCACTTCTGGGGCCAGCCAGGTATTGCCATATTAAGCTGATTCTCAAAACTGCCATCGTGCAAACTTTGCATCTATCCAAATTCAAGCATCAAAAACATTTATCCTGCAGGCTCTGGGGCAGGGTGACATTATTCCTTGGTTCTTGACATTTTCTTCCCTGACAGAATGCTTCTTTGCTTGTTTTATTGTTTTAATATCCTGTGTGTTGCCTAGATCCCCTTGAGTGATTGAGGCAAACTGATAAATCGAATACTGTAAAGCAGGGTTCCTCAACCTTGGTGAATTTAAGACGGGTGGACTTCAACTCCCAGAATTCCCCAGCCAGCAAGGCTGGCTGGGGAATTCTGGGAGTTGAAGTCCACCCGTCTTAAAGTCGCCAAAGTTGAGGAACCCTGCTGTAAAGAAATAATTGTTTCAGTAAGCCAGCAACTCCTCAAGGTTCCTGTGACATAATATATGTCTTTCTTTAACAGCAAAGCCTCTCGTTCATCCTGTCTGGAGGTTGAGTCATGGCAACTGGACTTCTTTCCTTTTCGGCAGAGACGTTTTGCTACTTGTCCAAGCAGCTTCTTCAGTCTAAAAAACTTGGTCAGGGGGACCCCCTAAAAGTCTTCCAAGGCGGCCGTGTTTCTTACTAGCACGACAGGCTCGTGGAGGGACAAGAGTAGTTGTGATGAGCGGAGTCTTTGAGACGTCGATGAAACTCTCGTTCATCCCGTTCACTTGCTACAGCTGCAAAATAAGGCTAGTGGGTTGCGCAACACCCCCCCAAAAAGAGGGAGGGGCGGCTCATTTGCCCCGCGGCGGGAACACAGCCCTCAGGCTCCCTCCCGGAGTAGGGCATCCGCACGAAACGAGAGCAGTTCCGCTTCCAGCGCGCAGCGAGGAGGGCGGAGCGAGGAACCAGCCCCCCCCCACGCCAGGCGCGCGCGCGCACCCCCGGCGTCACGCGCTCCGCGAGGGAGAGGGCCGTTGGGGGCTGCTCGCGCCGCCGCTTTGCCCCTCTCCGCCGTGGGGGGGACGAAAGACCTCGCCGCCGCCGCCCCTCCCC